CTTCTTGACGACCTAATACTTTGAATAATTCAGTTACTGCTCCATATTCTGCTTCTAATAAACTAATACACTGCCAGTAAAAGACCACACTGTCTCAGAGGATGCACTGGGCAATAAGGATATATACTTCATCTATTCTTCAGTGTGTGCATGTGTGTCATTATGACTACAGTCAACTTTTCTCACGCTTAAAACCCTGAATAGACCCATCACTACAATGAAAATGTTGACTATACCCAAGTCTATGATATGGAAATATTTCTCATGTACAAATGACGAAAAAATAGTTGTGATTTAAAAATAGTAGTTTGTAATCTGTGCCAAAAACATTCCTTGTCTACAATTGTACCACATCAACAATGCCAAAGCATCTGGGAATATATCACCCCTGTAAAAAAAATTGACTGAATCATAATTTTCAGGTGCAAATATTTTGTCAGAATTTATATTTTAACATTAATAATACACACTAATATTAGTTTCTTATTTAGCCAGTTTGCATTATCTTTTTAGTTAAAGTAGATTTTTATTGGTACAATTTTCAGGTGCTATATGGTTAAACATGTTGTAAATCATGCCTCCTTCCCCAAAAATAAAAATCCAAAATGTTGCCTATACCTCTGCAATTCAATCTTACAACAGAGACTGTGAAACTACTTTCCTTTCTCAATAGCATTTTCATATTCTAAATCTTTACACTTTCATGATGCTAATAATATTATTACTATTTGTGAGGCCTTAATCTCCATACTATCTTATAGAGTGATAAACTAATTTCTTTAAATATTATATCTGATTATTGTAGTAATGTACTGTTGCTAAAACTCAAATAGATGAAGATGTCCCACTAGATGGTCTGTAACATATCAAATATTCTCCTTTAAAGTGGCATGAATTTCTTGAATTTTATATTTTAATTAGTAGAACTAATTTTTCTACTCACCAATAGCAGCAAAAGCTGCATTGTGAGGGGCACAGTTGTATGGAGTCAGATCCACGGTTTTCACGTACTTCATTCCCTGCAAGTGCATCTTGTACATGCCCCGCTGGTTAGTGTGTACAACAAATCCATACTTCCAAGGATGTCGGAGGTCTTGACTTAGAGGGATGAACATTTCACTCACCTGCATTAGAAGTGTTCAGTTCATCTTTCATTACCTTAGTTTTTCAACAAATATTCAAAAAAACATTCAGGATATAGTATTTTAACACCAGTGCATATTAGAACACTAACATTTGATATTTACTCAATGACTAAAACTGTTGTTAAACTTTTGTTTATATTAAGACATGCAAAAACACTGGATTTAGCAACTGATTACAAAACAAAAAGGAAATGTTTATTTGTTTTAATATAATTCTCATACAAATTTAATTAAAAGAAAAATAACAATAAATTGAAGGTGACAGCCAGTCTGTTTAAAGGAAATCACAACCAACTGTAATTCCAATGAGGGACAATGTATTTTATATTATACTATTTTCCCAAAATGCATCTAGCTATTAAAACACAGTTATGATTACATCAGTGTAAACTTACCAAGTCAAAGTGTCCATCCACAGGTTCAGGATGGACAGTGTGATGTTTTCTCTTCTGACTGGCATCACGAATGATTTGGATTGTTTTTGTCCCTTGATCCTCTTTGCTACGCCAGCAGGTTAACCAGACTTGATCAAGGTGAGGAACATAGTGCAGGTCCACAGGATACTTGTCTGTGACAACAACCTGATGGAAATTAGAATAATAATAATTGCATTATATCTTCTAGTTATTGGCTAATAGCAGAGCATGGTAGTAGCTGGTTTGTCAGAAGTTGTATTATTTAATACTTGTAGCATTTACATAGTTACTAGTTGAATTTTGTACATAAAGAATAATAACTTTGGCAAATATTCTGTTTCAGTGATAACGGTAACAGATGTATTCGGCACAGCTAGTACTAAGTGATTCAGATGGAAATCCCAGAGTTATGTATTAAAAACTATTATTAAAAATTGCATCACTTTTCAAAGCAAATTAGGTATGAGGTACGTACATGCCATTAGTGTGCTGGAGTATATTTTATACCGTGGGACTTGATAAATATGGATTTTGAGTATGGCCTTCAGTATAATGTACAATTTAATGATTATGAATATGTAGAAAAATATTTAACATATTAAAAACAACAACTTACATCTACAACGACCATTTGAACCCTGGAAATGATTAGAACTCTATCCTTTTTTGGTTGCGAAACATATACATAGCGGTCAGCCACATTGATGGCATTTCCCCATGAGCAGTTAATGCCTCTGTCACCACATACATATTCCTGTGTACCAGGAATAATATCTGTGCTTTGGATCTGATGATAAAGCCGGCAGTTATCTGGGTCATACACAGATACTCCCCAGTCATGGAAAGTAAAGAAACGTCTTTCTTCAGAAGGAGCAGCTGAAAAAGAGAAATATCTGTTTACTACCTTGTGAACTCTGAAATCGTATGGCACAAAACAATTTATATCAGTTAAAATTCATTTCAATGCCTTTCAAATAAGCATCTGATGAAATGAACTATATACACAGAATAAATATTTAAAGGTAAAAGTTACTGTTCAGTAAGTAGCATCAGGTGATTTGGAAGCTCCCCATATATATAAAGTAACTTTCATTCATTTTAATTTATTCTGAAATTTTACTTTATTTTGTTTGTTTGATTTTAAGCACAAAACTACACACAATATGTTATTTGTGCTGCAACCACCATGAGTACCAAAACCTAATTTTAAGCCCTCAGACTTATTGCTGAGCTACAAAATATAAGAAGAAAACTATGGAAAGAAGTGGTATTTAGTAAAATATCTTTCAACAATTGTATAGAATAACAATAACCATAAGCAGATAAAAGCTCTGTATTCATTGAACTGTTAAAATAATGAATACTTATAATACCTTTCATAATGTTTCAGTTAATTTTTGAATGAATTCTAATTTACCACTCACATAATAAGTTCAAGGGGCCTGGTCCCATCACTTTTAAAATTTCTTGTATAAACAAAAATTATGATTTCCTACACACATTTTGTTAAGAACATATTCACACCTTCAATGAAAAAGATAGGAATATTCCTTAAGGTTAAATCTTCTCTTATGTTTGCTCCACCCATTTTATGATAGCTACTTGAAAATTATCTCCAAATAAAGCAAGTTTCAAACCATTTAGATATCAAAACTTATTATTCAACTGAGTGCATATAATTATTTAAGTATATTCATCCTTGATCAATTTTTCTTAGTCATCTCAAACTTAAAGTGAAACATAACCACTTTGGCTAACTATTAACTTTGTAACACTTTGTTTTAGCTTAAGTGTATCATAAAAAACGGCAATATCATGAAATAGTTTATCTATAGTATTACTGTATCAATTAAAAATAAAATACTGCACTGTAAAAAATATTGCACTTGTATTTAATTTTGAACATTTGCTATTATTTTACTGATACATATACACTATGAACATGTTAAAAATGAGCTACTGACTGATAAAACAAAAAAAAGGATAACTGATTAATTTAATGCTGGTAGTTTTGACATCTGTTAACAGAATCACTTTACTGAAAACAAGGATCTGTGTTATTCCTATTGCTGGACAGACCATTATTTTTACCCATGAAATTTGTCACTGCAAGATTTTGTCCAAATACTTTTAATGGTTTTTAGACCAATTAGGTCAATTTTTCTAGCATCCAGCTTGGAAAGAATATTCTGAAACTTTCTATTTCGGCTACTATTTGATCATCAACTATTTTAGTAAATGGAAAAAACATTATCTCTATTAGAAAAAACTGTCAACCTATATTGAGAGTTAATTTAGCCCAAGTATGTCATCAACAGTGAAATCTAGTGTGTGGCAAAAAATCTTATGTCACAAAGCATTTAAAGAGAGACTAGTAAATTACTCCTTTTCCATATTTCAATCTGAATTTATCATTCAATGTTCTATGCAAATCTAAAACTGAATATCAGTTTATTTGGTAATGAATGAAAACTAAAAATTAAACAGGCCAAGCTCAGCCAATTGTTAATGTTCAAAACTATGGAGCTGAGGTTCCATGTTTTGTGTTCATAAAAATAATAATAATAATTACATTCTGCACTTTTGAGCCATAGGTGCATTATTAGAGTGATGGTCCAATCCCACTATTTGGTTTGTTTTTTGAATTTCACGCAAAGCTACACGAGGGCTATCTGCGCTAGCCGTCCCTAATTTAGCAGTGTAAGACTAGAGGGAAGGCAGCTAGTCATCACCACCCACCACCAACTCTTGGACTACTCTTTTACCAAAGAATAGTGGGATTGACCATCACATTATAACACCCCCACGGCTGAAAGGGCGAGCATGTTCGGTTTGACGGGGATTCGAACCAGCGCCCCTCAGATTATGAGTTGAGTGCCTTAACCACCTGGCCATGCCGGGCCCCACTATTTGGTATAACAATAGTTAGTGGTGGGTGGTATTGACCAGCTGACTTTCCTATAGTCTTTTACATCAAAATTAGGGATGACAAGTTAAAATAGCCCTCATGTAGCTTTGTGTGAAATCCAATAAACAAACAAGACAAAACATTAATATTCACCATTACATCATTCCATCAATAATTCTGTCATAATTAGAATAAAGTTCCATTTCCTTGCATGGGAAGAGAAAGAACAACTAACAATTAAATTACATGAATTGCTTTCAAAGTACAATGAATTTATCTAATATAGTACCCCCAATCTTCTTGTGGAGTCTGTACACATGAGCAACTGCCTAATGAATATATAAATAACAAAGTTAAGGACTAAGACTAATCATACAATTTGAGTTTAGAAGCAAAGATTGGAATACAGTTCTAGCCTTGATTACACATACACAATTAAAAAAAAAAAGAATTTAAGATTAGGAAAACGCATGAACCGATAACTCTTTTTCTGCACTTCAAACCTCACACCATGTGCACATTTGTAAATTGTGTTTATAATAACTATCATAATTACTAGATGTGGATAATCATCTAAATTAAGATTTAAGTATATTAGAAATAACTTTCAACCAACCTTAGTTTTATACAATTATTTTCTTGCCAGTATACTGCCTTAATTGAGAAAGTATTGGATAAATATTTGTATCATAACAATATGAGGAAAATCTAAATGAACACTAATCAAGCTTAAAATTTCAATTAATCACAATCTTTCATCAAATATTTTGTCTTGCATAGATTAAAATAAGCTAGCTACTAAATCTGCAAAAACATGTTTTATTATATTTGGTAGGCAAAGTTGTTTGCATAACAAACTGCTAATTATAATTATATTTATCATATCATACCAGTTCAGTGTTTATTCCCAAAATTTTAAAGCTTACTAATTTCTCTATATCACTGCATGGAAGTAATTTAATGAAATTTTATAATGATCTGTTCCACTGTATTTTACATTTTTGGAATCCAATAAGAGGCTTGGTGTAACTTAGTGATTAGTGAGCTATGCTGAGGATTGGAAGATCCAAAGTTCAATGTCAGAGCACGAATGATGGTGCTAGGCAATAAGCAAACTAAGCAATTGCTTAGGATCCTGGACAGCTCAATGGGCCTCTGATTCAAGGGAATTTTTTTTCCTTACTATTTTCATCAGAACTTTGAATTTAGCCTGTTATATTGTTGTACTCATTTGAAAAAAAACCAATGTTTTCAATGAAAACAACTCCAAATTATATCACTCAGTAATACTCGGATGTTTAAAAACAGTAGCAACAAGACATTCTCAGTCAAGTACATGTGCAAAGTACATGCACTGATAGTAAATGTACAGTGTACATGATTTGAGAAAGATACTAGTGTAGCGATGTTAATGTGTAAGTAGAAAAAATTACTTTTTTAACAAGTTTGGTATGTTTTGTGTTGGTATATATCTTTTATTTGTGAAAATAATGCAATTCTATTTTTAGGTGGGAGGGAGGCCCAAACTTATTCCTGCTTAGGGTTCACAGTGGGTAAGCACCACCTCTGCAAAATGCCACTAAGCACACTTTGCACTTTCATCTGTAGATGCATTATAAGAGTGACAGTCAATCCTGTTATATGGTTGAATGCTGGTCAAAGCTCTTGTAGTGGTAGGTGCTGCTGACTGACTGCCTTCCCTCTGGTTAGTAGTTCAAAATTGGGGACAGCTATACAAGAACCCTAAAATCTCTGACCTTCCAATATTTGATTATTAATTGTACTGGGTCGGTCCATTGTACTGGAGAAGTAACGTTAACTATAATTCCAAATTTATGAAGTGTATCTTCATGAAATGAGGCAAGTTTTTAGTAAACAATACAAGTCTGTTGTGCACAAAAAATAAATCAAATGTGTTAATAAATCTTTTGTACTAAAAATATTTTTTCCATTGTACAGTTTGAAAATTGCATTTGCATAACCTCTACAACCTCCTAAATAGATACCTAAAGTGTTTTTTCAGTATCCCTATATACTGTGTCTGGTATTTTCTCTAACATGAACTGTTACTAAATCAGCAATGTAGGGTAACATGAAGAGTTGATAACTCTTTACCTCAAATACATAATACCATGTTGAAGAACTATGTACAGGAACGTTGAGAGCCAGCATGAGCCGCGAGGCAAACATCCTTGCCGTGCCCCCTTTCTCTCCTAAGAAGATCCTAAATTAGGACAGCAACAAGCTCATAAACCAGACAAAATCATAGCAGCAGCTGTTTGTATCAAGCGTCTATATGCAAAGAAAAACCAAAAACTATGGTTTTTATAATTAAATGAAGATATAGCCTAAAGATGCTTTGTGGGCTTTACGGCATAACCAGGTTTCATTCGCCCAGGGCCCCTGGGCAGTTACCCTTTGCCATGCACACTTTCACATCCATCCATACACAGAGAGTTAGTAAATAAATAAATTATATAATAAGTTTACATATGTATAAGTATAACTTACTTGGAGTAGGTTGATCTTGAACAACCAGTGAGCTTATGTCTCTCATGGATCCAGCTGTGTTGGAAGCTACACACATGTATGCCCCAGTATCACTATAAGTTATCTTGCCAACCATGAGGGCAGTCCCATTACCTACAGAATTGTGAAAATAATCATTCACTTAACTACATGCAATAGTAACCTCAACAAAATACAAACATATTAACTGGTCTAATTATTAATTATTAACTTTTTTCTATAACTAGATGCAAATTACTAACCAGTTTTATCCTACATTCCAGCTGCTAATTATATTAAAAAATGTTATTAATTAATAATTAGACTTAGATGATCATACAGGCTACAAACCATGACATTGATATCTGATTGCCACAACCTTGACATAAATACAGATACATTATCGTAACTATATTCTAACAATATTCCACCCTATTTATTGATTAAATATAACAAATTATATGTTTTATTTCTAAGTAACAACTTTTCAGGATTATGAAACTGAAACCTGCCTAATGAAGTTTGTGGGTTTGTGTTTATTGTGTTCAAAGCTTAGTGTAATATTTCATGTAAATGATGAACCTAGTGATAATTATGTATTACATAGAAATTTAGATTACAAAACAATAACAGAAACACTCTCTATATCCTGCTCTGTGTTTTTGAGATGAAATGTGTTTATTAAGACTGGATATTGATACCTAAGAAAAATTACTAGGAATTTTAACAATTAATAATGAATTTTATATCTTGAATACAGTCTAGAACTGAGTGGGTCTTTTGATTATTTTTGTGCTTAGTAATCTCCAATGTAATTATAATTGAAAAGTTTTAAAACCAATACTGTTGTGAACTATTCCTAAGTTATAAATCTTGCATACAATATTGTATGCATGCATTCATTTTGTGTTTCAAAAACTATACTGTTGCGTCATCGAGGTCACGTGACTGGTGTGGTGCCACCTATTTTCTAGAACTATCCTGTACCTTGGCGAATGCTCTAGTATTTACTAGATATAGGGTAGTCTGGTATATAAAAGAGGGTGACAACGTGACGGGGATAATGTAATGTGTGTAGACAGTGTGTAATTGATCTGCAGTCAGAGAGAGACGTATCGTTGATATAGCGTTTGTTTTAGCGTGATTGTTGAAAATAAGTGTATCGTAAAGTTGTATTCGGAAAGAATAAACCAGTTTTATTAAGTAAGGACTTGTGTCGCTAAAGTTTCGTCGGAACGAAGTTACGGAAAGTTAATTAACAAACGGAGACGTAACAATACCATTAACAAAATGCTTTTCAAAACTGTACCAATGGTAAGGACAAAGAATTAACTCTCTCTTAAAACTTACCCACAACAGTATATTTGTCAGCTCCCACTCTCAACTCATCATCATTCTTCAGCCAGGAGACATTTGGAGTGGGTACACCAGTTACATGACATTCCATTTCAACCAACTCTCCAGGAGCTCTAGACTGAAGTTTAGGGATGACATGGACCTCAGGTAGAGCTGTGTGTGAAGAAGAATTGAAGATTAATAAATAATATTTAATAACTGAACACTGGTGGCTGACTAATCGGTGTTAAACATTGTGTTTGATTATTCCTTCCATTATAAGTTTAGTATTATGTGCTCTGTGAAAATAGTTTTATAATGATTCAATAAAAACATAGTTATTTTCTCTGGAATTATGTGTTTCTTTTTCACTCTCTAGTCTTTAGTACAGTAATTTAAAATCAAACTTTGGATAATTATTGATTAAGTACTTTTGTAATGTTTCCAATAAAAACTTTCACATTTTGCTGATGGATGATAAACTTTATTCAATTCTTGGACTCTTAGCTAAGCATGTTCTAGTAATGTAAGTTACTACTGAATAAGTAAAAGAAGTATTTCAATCACTTATGCCAATGGCAACATTTTATAAGTTCTGGAAATTCTAAGTAATGATTTTGTTTGGTGAGCAAATTTCAATGTTCTTTATTGATCTCCATTATGAAACAACTAGTATTACTAAGTAGACATCGACATAAAAAAAAACAACATAAATGTATGTATTTCAAAATCATATAGTGTTAAAGCCTAAGCAGAACACCTGGAAAATAAATACAAAAAAACATTGTTTCAAATTTTAGTAATGAAATATTTTTAGACGTATTCTAAAGTTCATAAAACCAGTTTAATGATATTCTCAGTTACTGAACTTAAAAAGAGACCATCATACAGTTTGCAGCCATAAAAAGGCACAAACAGCATTTCATCAATGACTGACTTTTGTTCAGAATTTCCCTCATACATTGAAATTAGTTAAATGAGATGGCCTTAACAACAACAAACAAATTCAATATCAAATCAAATAGGATATAAAAATATAAAAGTACTTTTGAAAAGAAAAGACGTTATTTTGCCAGGTTCTTGAAATATTATGTGTAATGCAAAAGAAGATAGAAAAAAATATATTTTAAACAGTAGGACTAGTATACTTAAAAATCACTGTTTCTACACACTTGGAGCATCTGAATTTAAAGTTACTGTATATATGAAAATAATAGAAAAACAGCTGTTGTCTGTTAGTATAACCACACAATATTGTTACGTCTCTGTTTGTTAATTAACTCTCCATAAATTCGTTCCAACGAAACTTTAACGACACAAGTCTTTACTTAATAAAACTGGTTTATTCTTTCCGAATATAACTCTGCGATACACTTAATCTCAATACTCGCGCTAAAACAACACGGTAACGAACGAACGTTAACTTCAACAATACCCTGTGACTGCAGTTCAATTACTCCCTATCTATACACACATTACATTCCCCTCCCGCGTCACGTTTTCCCCCTCTTATATATACCAGCCTACCCTATCTAGTAAATACTAGAGCATTCCTGAAAGAACAAGATAGTTCTAGAAACTAGAGGGCGCCACACCAGTCACGTGACCTCGATGACGCAACATTGCCCCCTCCTTAGTATTGTTCGTCCCTAACAATAACCACATACAATAAACCAATAACAATTAACAATAACTTAATTAACTGTAAAGAATTACAAAGACAAAATTACAATTCAACAAAGTCTCTTAATTTTACGGGACGTATCTTCTTCCGTACTGGTCTCCGTCTCATTGGCTTCTGCTTCATGTGGGGTTCATCTGCTTCATCAGTAAATGTCCTATCATCGGTAACAGTCACATCAGTGTTAGTAACATCATCGTTTCCCTTCTCAAAACTGAGTAGAGTTTCTTCTTCGACGGTGGCTTCTTCAGGTGGCACGTCTTCA